CTTAGCCAATTTATTTCTTTTCAGTTTTTTGACATTTTATCGATTTATTAATATTAAAATTACAAACAGTATTATTTGATAGAATGAATAAAATATAAACAAATGAAAATATAATCAAAACGAACGTCTAAGGATAGCATTAACGAAAATGCTACGACAAGTATTTGTGACACATTGTGTCATTTCATTTGATAAAGCATTTTTGTTTAGCATTCGCAATATTTCATTATTTTTCATTTGCATGACAGTGATTTTAAGATTATTTTTACAATTTTAATGATTAAATTATAAATAAATGTAACCTAAGAGAGAAGAAAAACTGTCGAGAACAAGCTCGAAATTCCACTAGAAATAATCTTTGTACCGAACAATCGAATTTAGCAAAAGGTCAAATTTAAATCAATGTATTTATATTTAAGCAAATCATGTTAATCATTTATTGTAAGTTTTATTGTAATTCAAATTCCTTAATGACTCATAGATGGTAATGTGTTAACAAATTCCCATGCTAATCTGTCATATTATCTAATGCACATCTGCTCCAATCCTTTGTTTGTTATCTAATTCCGTTTACAAAAACTATCTTTGCGATAGCCTTCCTCCTAGCTTCCATTGTATCAATCGCTTTATCTCTCCACCCTCAAATCATCCTATATAAGGGCAATTACCACTCAACCACAGCTTATCCTTCCCAGCATTGTTACCAGTCTCCCCATTGCTTAGCTCATCCTCTTCACTAAATTGTCAAACTACTGATTGCTTGTTTGTTTTAATTACCCAAGATAAAGCACTCTACTCAATTGTGCAAGTAAACCAACCCAATTCAATCCATTCACAACACCAATCCAATCCAATACATTCACAACAATTTTATGGTGCCACGAGCCGGGAACATGTCATCCATCATCATCAGAATCGCAGACCAAACAAAACGAAGATTGTGTGAAGTCCTCAACGAAATCAAGCGTCTGAACTTGGATTCGGTCGACCAAACGACAACAACCGACGAAACAATCCGTCTTCATCAGGAACGGAGAAGGATCACCCAAGAAAAAATCATGCATATCCAAATATACATAGAGGCGTTGGAATCGGTCAATACAGAGTGGAAACAATTCATCCAGCAGATTTCAGTCTCAACCAAAAGAAAAGAAGAAGAAGATCGATACCTTCAGATAAACGACGATGAATCAGGTATTACCAACTTAATTTTACAAGCAAAACAAACTGTAGTCATTTTAAAAATGTATCAAAATGATTCGGAGTTCATATTACAACGGCTAAATCAGTCTATGGTAAGGGAGGAAACAACTCAACCCAAGGAACCAACACAAGCGGGTAAATACCCTACAGTAAATCTCCCACAACTACCACTGCCCACATTCAGTGGGAATCCAAGACGCTGGAGGGAATTTTGGAATAGCTTTGGAATACATCAACAAGCTATACATCAACAAGCAATTCCCGATATCCATAAACTAAACTATTTCATCTCATGTCTCAAAGGAGATGCCCTCCAAGCTATCAGAGGTTATGACATAACTCTGGAGAACTACAGTATCGTAAGAAATGTCCTCGTCGAAAAGTTTGGGCAGCCTTACGCCATCAAACGAGCCTTGTTCACCGAATTATACTCCATCAAAAAGAACGATAGAGAGTGGAAAGCAACGCTTGAGGCCATTGAGCGAACACTTCGACAATTGGAGGCCATCGGTGAGAATTTAGAGCAGTCCGGTATCGAAATAGCTGTGGAAGGGAAATTGCCAACCTGGATCCTAGAACAGGTTTACAGAAGAAAGAGGCAGGAATCGTGGTCTGTCACCAAACTCCGAAACTTCCTCACGGAGCTTGCATCTGTGAACGAAGAAGTAGTACAAAGCCAGTCCCTATGGTTTAAAGGGAATATGGAGAATCAATCTCCAATAAAAGGCAAGCCAAGACCACGACACAATCCCAATGAGACTTCAGCCTTAACAACCTCTGTTCCGGAGAAACCCATCATCAAAGCCCTATCAAGACCTTGTGCACTATGCAACAAGAATCACTGGGATGAAGAGTGCCAGATTTATCCCACTCTCAAACAAAGGCTGGAACGTCTGAAGAAACTAAACGCTTGCCTCAACTGCTTCAAGATCGGACATATGGCAGCCAGATGCAAAAACAAGAAACGGAATTGCTTCCACTGCAAGGGTCAACACAATTCCGCGCTGTGCCCTAACAAATTCAAGGAAATGCCCAATAAACCAGAGGATCCAGACTCCACTACCACGACAAATATAATAGTCGAAAAAGAGAAGAAACAAGCGCATCCTACTCTTATGCAAGCAGATAAATGTGTTCAACCCAACTAATCCAAATACTCAACAAAGGGCTTTAGCCCTATTCGACGTTGGATCACAATTATCCTTTGTTTCAAAGAACTTAGCCAAACAACTAATGCTTAACGAAACAGATGAAGGGAAACTAAACATCGCTTCATTCGGCAAAAAGGACCCGAACACGCACCTTACAACCAGAATTGAAATAGGGATAAAAATCGGAAAGGATCGTACAGTGTTGCTCGAAGCGAACACCGTGGACTATTTAACAAACAAACTACAAGTAGTCAACTTAAGTGAAAGCGACATACGATCCCTCAAAGGAAGTCCAACAATTGATTTCCACAGTGAATGGAAGCAACCGGATATATTAATAGGAGCCAACCACTTCTTTCAATTCATCAATTTCGACAAAGCAGAGAATCTGCAATCGGGATTCACACTGCTCCACACTAAAGTGGGCCCGATCCTGGCTGGGTCTGGCTATACAAAGAAAATTTCTCCCAATTCACGAATGTCCTCACAAATAGTTTACGCCGCTAACACGATCAACGTTCCAGATTTAGATCAATTCTGGAAACTGGAACTAATAGGCATACAAGACAAACCCGAAAACAATGACGATGAAGAAGCCTTAAAACAATTTAAGCAAACGATTAGAAAATCCGATGGACGATACCAGGTCGCATGGCCATGGAAAGACACCAGTTCCAAATTAAGCGACAATTTCGAATTATGTCTCGGACGCTTACAGTCGTTAATCAAGCGACTTCACCGCAACCAACATCTACTTACCACATACAATGAAACAATCAATGAACAGTTAAGATCCAATGTCATCGAAAGGGTAAGTCATTTCACAAACCATCAAGGTATTATCCATTACTTGCCCCATCATGAAGTGGTAAAATCAGACACCACGACAAAGGTCAGAATAGTTTATGACGCTTCCGCTCACCTCAGAGGCAGGAAAAGCTTAAACGATGTCTTGTATCGAGGCCCTATCACCCTTCCCGATTTAGCTGGAATATTAATTCGACTAAGAACAATGAAAATCATCATATTAGCTGACGTCGAAAAAGCCTTCCTACAATTAGAGTTGCTGCCAACGGAACGGGACTGCACACGCTTTCTATGGGTAAAAGATATTCAGAAACAGATGGACAGAGATAATTTAATATGCTATCGATTCAAAAGGGTTCCCTTTGGAGTGATATCGTCACCCTTTTTATTATCAGTAACTCTCAATTATCATTTGGAACATTATGAGACTGAAACTGCACGTAAAATCAAGAAGAATCTCTACGTCGACAATATCATCTTATCAGCGAGCCATGAAAAGGAAGCCTTGAATAAATATGAAGAAACAAAATCAATTTTCAAGGATGCGTCAATGAACGTGCGAGAATTCCTCTCAAATGACCAGACATTCAATGAGCAACTACCCAAGTCGGACCGAGCACGAATGAGTCAAATAAAGAAAATATTAGGGATTAAGTGGAATCCACACAAGGATCATATCCAAATAACACTAAATCCATGGACCGAACAAACAACAACAAAAAGAACTATTCTACGGTTCATCGCCTCACAATACGACCCACTTGGATTCCTAGTACCACTGATAGTACCGTTCAAGATATTTCTCCAAGAACTCTGGAGAAAAAACATACATTGGGATCAACCCCTCGACAATCAATTGATTGAAACCTGGAACAATCTTGTGGTAAAACGCCCAACTCATATCAAGGAAATCCCGCGATTCACAATCGATTTATCACAACAAATTACCTTTCATGTTTTCACCGATGCATCTACAGTGGCATATGCTGCAGTAGTATACGCCCATCAAAATACGCATACGTCGTTACTCTTTGCTAAATCACGATTAGCACCTATTAAAGGAATGACGATACCAAAGCTAGAATTACTAGCTATTCTCATCGGTGTACGCGCAGCTCAGTTTGTCATCAAACAAATGGAATTAGAAAATCCAAAGGTAGTGGTATGGTCGGACTCTCGCTGTGCACTACATTGGATACAAAACAACTCTCGCCTCCTACCAAAATTTATACAGAATCGTGTGGAAGAAATACAAATGGCGAAATTCGCATATCGGTATATCCCAAGCGAACACAATCCAGTAGACATTGCTACCAGAGGAACCATTCCGACTCGTCTAATAAGTTACGAGCCTTGGTGGAGCGGGCCCACATGGACCAATGGTAATGAACCGAATTGGCCTCATTGGGAATACGACGTTCCACAAGAAGAAGATAACGAAGAAGATAAGAATATAGTAGCAACAACAACCACAGAAGAAATCATCAATACAAATCGAATCAATCTCCTGGAGGCAAAACGATTCAGTAAATGGACAAAGATGATAAGAACAACAGTAAGAGTACTAAAATTTCTCAAAAAATTATCTAAAGGAAAATTAACCTGGTTAAGCAGCGTATCAGAAAGGAATCCGATTACACCCGAGGATTACAATCTCGCTGCGGAACTACTAATAAAACAATCCCAATCGGAAGGTATAACAGCAGAAGAAGTGGAAAAGTACAATCTGCACTATGCAGACAGGTACTGGAGATTCCAGAGCAGACTACAATTGCCGAACGACAGGGAATACTCATCCCAAACAATATATCTCCCCAGACACAAATCACAGAACATAAAATGAGTCAAGAAGACACCAGCGAATACTTTGAAAGATCTAAACTCCAAGAACTGGGAGAATGGACTAAGAAACAAAATGAATTACTGCGTGCAGATATTTTGAAAGAACAACAACGTTCGGGAGTGGATGATTTAGAGGACTCTCTTTTGATTGATCCAGAAACCTTTGAATCCCCACCGAGATTCAAACCTAGCCCCAAAAAGGTTCCTCATCAAACAAAGATGAAATCTCATTCAGACACCAAAAAAACATCAGTGCACTCGTCTTCGAAAAAACCGATTCCAGTTAACATACACATCCCACCAAGTTTAAGTGCGTCTAAAGAGTGTGCAGATCTGGTCAATGATATATTTAGACAGCTTGAAGAACTTAAGATATTAACCATCGAAGAAGTAATGTTTGAAGAGGATAATATAGAATACAAAATCAAACGCATCAATCAACTGGCCTCTTCTCCATCTTCAGAATCTTCCAATCCTGACATCAAATCTGCATTAACAACAACCACTGCTTTTGAAGAAGCTAAAATGACGACTTCACAACGTTCAGAATTCTACATGTTGCAGAATAAAATCAGAAACATCCTGTCCAGTAAGCCCAAATCTATCCATTAGAATACTTTTCGCTCTTCCCTCGGGAGTGTCGAGAACAAGCTCGAAATTCCACTAGAAATAATCTTTGTACCGAACAATCGAATTTAGCAAAAGGTCAAATTTAAATCAATGTATTTATATTTAAGCAAATCATGTTAATCATTTATTGTAAGTTTTATTGTAATTCAAATTCCTTAATGACTCATAGATGGTAATGTGTTAACAAATTCCCATGCTAATCTGTCATATTATCTAATGCACATCTGCTCCAATCCTTTGTTTGTTATCTAATTCCGTTTACAAAAACTATCTTTGCGATAGCCTTCCTCCTAGCTTCCATTGTATCAATCGCTTTATCTCTCCACCCTCAAATCATCCTATATAAGGGCAATTACCACTCAACCACAGCTTATCCTTCCCAGCATTGTTACCAGTCTCCCCATTGCTTAGCTCATCCTCTTCATTAAATTGTCAAACTACTGATTGCTTGTTTGTTTTAATTACCCAAGATAAAGCACTCTACTCAATTGTGCAAGTAAACCAACCCAATTCAATCCATTCACAACACCAATCCAATCCAATACATTCACAACAAAAACTATTTTTTTTTTATAAATTATAAATAAATGTAACCTGTCTCATTTTTCATTATTATTCATAATAATCTAGACTGAAAACATTTTTTTTTTTAATTTAAGAAACAAAGTGTGAAAATTGAAATTTTTGGAATTATTGGGTAGTGATAAAGATTGGCATTTTCTTTTTAACAGACAAGCAAATTTACTAGTTTAAAAATTTGCCAGACAAACAAATTTACCAGTCTAGTACAGTTGTTTTATTTCCAAAATCTTGATAAATTATCATCTAATTAACTGATATATTTCGAGAGAATTCCAGAAAATTAAACTAAAAATAATACTTTTCAAAAGGAATGGTAGCATTTTTTTGTGGTATGAATCCATCTTTAAAAGCCAAATGGTTCCAACACTTCTTTTCCCTTTAAATTAATGAAGATCAAATAAGATGGATAAATTTCAAATTTCAGTATTACGACAAATCGAACTACTATTAATTCATTTAAACGTGAATGTACAACAAGTACATACGATATAGATCATTTTTGATGTGATAAACAAGGGAAATAGATCATTTTTGATGTGATAAACATACAGTGCTCTGGAGGATTTTGTTACCAGATTTGATGTTACTTTAAAGTATTTCATCTTTCGGAATAATTTTTACATTTCTCGTAGGAAATTTCAACTAGTTCATAATGAATGTTTCTCCAAATAGTCAATCTATTCCAAAATTTCTGCTATTGTATTTCTCAAAGCAAAAAAAGACATTCACTAAGGCAATATGCATAACAGTGATAAATATGTCTCAAGAATAGAAGCTGTTACCCAATCTTAAACATATAATTACCTTACTGTAATGAAAAATAAACATGTTAAGATGAATCAGCATTCACATACTAGAATTGAACCGAATTCGTAACTTTTCTTTTTTAAATATGAAGCTTCTAAACCCAAAAGCGCAAAAATCTCACACAAATTTACTGACTAATGGACGGATGGATTTCTTAATTTAAGTGAGCTATAATAATACTGCATGGTTTCAGCTTAAATCATAATTTTGTATTTAAGCATAAAAGTGTTTGCAAGAAATCTCAAGCTTGCATGTAAAATTGAATGTTGTTTCTTTTTTAATCCCATCGAATCAATAAACACAAAAACAACGACGTCAAATATAACAATATATATTTTATTAAACAAAACGTAATTCTATGTTAAACATAATAACTGATGGATGAATTTTACATACTGTTTCTAATATGAATGAGTAATGACGAGAAGTCCCCAGTTAGTAAGTCAAAAATTCGCATCTGACGACTGCATAGCGCCATGTCACTGATACTCCTCTCCTACCAATCAAATTTATTTCTAATATTTTCCAGCAAATTTCAAATTAAGTGCATTTGTACCATCACCTTTCTGATTTTCCGGTGGCATCCACATGATATAGTCCTCATCTCTGTTGGCAAATCCTTCACCATAATCACCGTTCTGCAATGAATCATATAAAGACATGAGAAAGCTGAAAAAAAATTAGCTCAAATTAGTCATAAATACATTATACATAAGCAGGTAGATATGCTATTAACCACATGGACTATATTAACAAAACAATATTAAATGAAAGTCGAACAATTAAGACAATTTAATGAGTTAAAGAACTAAACTGAATTAAAAAACTAAAAGCATATGAAATATTTCTGTAGGAAAATATATACCAAACTTTTGAATAATAATACAAAACCTTTTGCTGCTTCAATGCTGTCGTATCACGAATTCGAATACGTTTTCTTTTTAAAGATCTATCATCTTTTATTGTAGACGGTATCTTTTCATCCGAAATAATACATTGCGCATGTTGTTGTACTTCCTGTGCTACGGCTGATGAAACAATGACTGTTTCATCCTTTTCAGTTTCTTCAACCAGAGTTCCTTCTGTGTTTGATATCACTGCCGACGTTGTTGGAACATTGAATTCCTTGAAATTAAAAAACATGTTACGAAAATTCACTAACTATTTAAAGAACTCCGAAATTTCAAAATTTTCAAAGAACTTTCTTTCAAAGTTAGAAAAATTAAAGAGATACCACAAAACCAAATTCGCTAAGCAAATTCAATCAAGTCGTCTATTTAATTTAAAGACAAACCATCTTATTAGCATCATCAGTTTCCACTGGGAAATCTTGCTGATGAACGTTAGATGAGGCATTACCAGAACCAGTAATAGCTTTTTCATCATCTTCAACTTCTGCTATGAAAGGTAGCCTATCAACGGTTTCTTTAATGAACGTGTCCGATGGCAATTCCATTCCTAATTGCTCATTTCGTTCTTTCTCTTCCGGAAGTAATCTTTTAACCTGTCGCATTTTCATTAATTTCTTCATTGTCGCTGCCGACAAAGAACCCACAGCACGTTTACCATCCTGAAAATCTGAAGTTTTAAGTCACAAATTTTAAGTCTTTCACAGTACCTGTCTGAGAAGCAGAAGGTATTTTTAACCTTAAAAAAGAATAGTTTGAAGAAATAAATCACTACTTGATTTGATGATGTTTTTAGTGCTGGCAGTTCCACTGGCTTTGCTATTTTGGCCAATTTTTCGAGTCGTTCCTTTTCATGTTTTAAAGCTACGAGACGATGTCGCAAGACAGATTTTTCCATTTTCACCTGTAAATCAAATTATTTTCCACATATCCGCAAGTTCTTTTTTGCATGATGAAATTTGATACAGAACATTAAGCTTTAAAAGCATACTGTGCATTATCCATTTTATATTGACAAACGATGTGACAAACTTCAACAACGATAACAAATAATAAAAAAAATAATTGACTTACAGCTATGCTATCCTTTTCACTATAGCCCAGCTGTCCGCAGAATTTATCGAGATCATCATCATCATCAATCTTTTCGTTATCCTCTTTTTCCTTTCCTTTCTTGGAAATCGCTAGCAACTGAGCTTCCACCTCGCACAATTCCTTACTTGTTGAAGCAATTTTCTTCGTTAAAGTTTCGAAAGTTTCTACTTCTGTTGTCATTTTACCTTTCGCCTCCTGATATTTGCGGAATAAAAGGTTTATGGTTCAAAGAGTAACAAAGAAAATATTTCATAATGCTATGAACATCTCTCCTTTTTTCTTCTCTCAATCCTACGTTTTTCTTCAAAATGACAAAATATTAAAAGCAACAGCAAAGGATAAGCAACCAAAGCACGCTGTCGCCGCTTTTCACGATTTGTTTCAATTTGACCTGTTCTGTCGAAATACGTATCCTCATCGGAATCGTAATAATCATTATCAACTAAGTTTTTAGCTCTCCTTCTGGCTTCATTCGACCGAAACAGAATATTATGCATATCTGTGAACAAAATAAACATAAAAAGAATTACGTACAGAAAAAACTTTCGTAAAGAGCTCCAAAAATCGAGCAAAACTTAAACAAGATACAAAAGATGACACGATACTCCAAAATAAATTTTTTTTTCTGACAAGATACAATTCCAAAACAAATTTTTTCTTTCTGAAATCAATATTTTTAAATACCTAAAGTTTTGCAAGCATTGAAGGCGCATAACACCTGTGCTTCTTTTTTGCTTCCACTGCACACCGCCGATGCAGATAAGGACTGACCAGCTGCTGTATCAACAGGTAATCTGAATAATTAAGACCTTCTCAAATGAAAAAACTAATCATTATTGCATAGTTAATCTATCCAAAATTAAGTTTAAAAATATAAACTAACTCAATGGAACAAATCCATTTGTGGTTTTGTCCTGTCCCCGTTTCTTCATATGCAAATTCCATATCAAAACCTTCTTTTTCAAAAAACCGTGACAACACTTTCAGCGGATCATCACGATATTTTTCTTCTCTATCTTGGATATCATCTCCATCACGCGCCTGAGCATATGCTAGTTCTTCGTCATAATCTGAAACGAGATAACTTTTTTTTAAAAAAAAAGGCAGCATAAACACATAAATTTTCAAGTTCTATTAAAAAAAGAAAAAAAAAATTCAGTCCTACACTAACCATTCATTTATTCACAACTCAAAAGAATCATAAGTAAGTTCTCTTTTGGTGAATGTTTGAAATCTCTAGATATGAAGGAAACACAAATTAAAAAAATCCGACTTTTCGAAAAACAAATCAACTAACCCATTCCCCACATAATACCGTCACTCTCTTTTTCATCTGCTGATGTCTTCTCTTTCTCTCTTTGTATTTTATCATAAAGTTTCTTTTGCTCGATCAGCCGCTTCATTTCCGTTGGTGAATACTCCCATTCCTCCTCAGTATCCGAATTTGGGCCAAATAAAGTCATAATTCTACTACTTCCTTAAAAAATTCCATAGGAATGAAATGAAAAGTTGAACTTACAAAATCAAATATATTATCCCACCAATAAAGTCGAGTTATTCGAGTATGTGATTTATACTAACAAATCAGGA